AAACTCTCAAACTGGTCAGCATATATCGAAGGGAAAATTAAAGTATTGGGTCTCTCTTTGGAATCCCTGTCCATGTTGCCTTTTGCCGTTGCATTCCAACAGATTAAAAACAGGTTGTTAGACTCGGAGCAACAAACTTTATATAGTTTAGGCAATAAAACCTGCTCCCCCTTGAACGTTGAGATTACAACAGGGCTGATGGCCTCGTATCTATCCTCTCTGCAGGTCCCTGAACAACGTGGAGCGTTCACCCTGGCCAGATGTAATGCTATGCCGTCCACCATTTTATTTGGCAGATTTAACAAGGTTTCTCATCTGGCCAGATACTGCCCTTGCAGATCAAAATGTGTGGAATCTATCACTCATGTTCTCCTGCACTGCAATTTGTATATGGACCTAAGGATACCATACTTACACTCTCTTATAACCAGCATGGGTGCTTGCTCTGATGCAATTAAGGTGAATAGACCAACCTTCGCCGCTGGCTCTCCCCGCAGCTGTGGCTACGACCACTGCTTCCTCCGTACTCCTCCCCCCGCCCCTGCATGAGCTGCCCACCCCCCAGCAGCCCCCGGCCCTTCCCTTCAAGCCTGACTCGGCCGACGACTCCGACTCGGAGCTCGACCTCAGCAAGATCTCAGCTTCTTCGTCCTGCTCCTCCTCCTCGGGCTGCTCTGACGACAGTGAGGGTGAGTGGGACTCCAGTGCATTGCGGGTGGTGGTGGTGTTTTCTCGCCTGCCTCACAGGGTGTCTGTTGTGGGGAGAGGAGAGGAAGGAGATCGTAAGCCGCTCTGAGACACCGAGTGAAGGGTGGGGTATAAACCCAGTCTCCTCCTCCTCCCTTCCTTCCTTCCTTTCCCCCCATTGAACGTCTTCGTTGAAAGTCTTAGCGGATTCTTCAACCAAATGAAGGCAGTTGGCTGCCTGAGGCAGGGGTCCCCAGTGTGGTATCCATGGGATCCGTAGCACCTGCCAGGACCTTTCCTGCAGGAGCGCACAGGAGCGGAGCTCCGGCAGTAAAGAGCCCGGGGGGGCGGGCACATGCAACAAGCCCCGCCCCCTGCTCCCAGCAGCCCCAGGCCACAAGGAGCAAAAAGCAGCCAGGTAAGTTGCAGTGGGTGTTGCCTTCTGACACACTTCCGGTGACGTCAGAGGGCGTGGCCCATGCAAATAAGTTATGCTCATGAGTTATGCTCATGAGCTCCTGCACCTCTTTTTCTACGGAATGACCCCTGGCGCCCACCAAGTGTTTTTAGAAAGTGTGGGGGCCACGTGGGGCTCCTGGTTTCTGACTGGCCACTGGAGATCTGAATGGCTGCGCAGATTAAGGTAATATTGTTTTAGCAGCAGCTGCCACCATAGTGTTGGTTTTAGTCTCTCTTTCACTCCTCTCTCCCAGTGTAGTGTAGTGTAGTGGTTAAGTTTGGTGTTGTGGTTAAGTGCGGGGACTGTAGTCTGGGAGAACCGGGTTTGTTTCCCCTCGCCTCCACTTGCACCTGGCAGGATGACCTTGGGCAAGCCATAGTTCTGATAAGAGCTGTTCTTGAAAAAAGAGCCATTTCTGTCAAGAGCTCTCTCAGCCCCACCTACCTCACAGGGTGTCTGTTGTGGGGAGGGGAAGGGAAAGGAGTTTGTAAGACGCTCTGAGACACCTTTGGGTAGTGAAGGGCGGGGGATAAATCCAATCTCTTCTCTCTCCTCTCTGTTTTTAAAATACTCCTTGTCCCCGGAACTTGGGCTTCCTCTGTGTGTGTCGACCTCTTGTGGTAGCCATTTTGTGGTGGACTCCCATCTCCTGTGGCTGCCATTTTGTGGTTGTCAGAATGTCAGAGGAGCCCCCAGGTTCAAAAAGGTTGGGGGACCCTGACCTAGGGCAATTATTATCCGCCCTACTCTAAATTGAGTGTGACCGGTCGATTGATAAACCTTTTAGTTGATTGCCAATTAAATAGCCAAGCAGTAGATTAAATTTAAGTTAACTCGGATGTTACAAAAATGTCAATACTGAATGTGCTTGTGATGCTAAAGAAAGCAAGAGGTGATGTACACCTTAAGCGAAAACAAAGCTTTTGACAGGGTTCCCCATGATGTCCTGGTGGGTAAACTAAAGGACTGTGGACTGGACTCTAGGATACTTAGGTGGACAGGGAACTGGTTGGAGAACCGCACTCAGAGAGCACGGAGTTGGACTAGACGGCCTGTGTGGGCCCTTCCGATTCTGTGATTCTTTTTTTAAAATTAATATTTTATTGAATTTTTCACAAAGTATAATCAAGAAACCTTATAATTTGACATTAAATACAGAACATCGAACATAAACAGTATGCTACCTGTGACTGTTTTAATTATATGTTCTTGTTTTAAATTATATGCTATATGTTATTGTTTTACTTGGCACTTGGTGCCCCTGTTAGCTGCCCTGAGCCTTCAGGATAGGGCGGGATATAAATGCGAAAATAAATAAATAAATAATTAAATATAAATAAATAAAAATACCTTATCATGTAAAGGTGTAAAACATGTACAAAGATTCAACATCTGCGAACTATGTGTAGTAGAAATCAGAGTAACCAAACATCAGTCTTGTGAGTATGTAATAACTTGGTGTTTCGGAGTTCCGTGTATCTTAGAGAGACATCCTAGCCAAAACTTGTGGGTAGCCAGGCTAATCTTTGTTATACTCCTAATGTGTAGATTAAACCTGTAGAGAGGTTTAGTATTTACAACCATTCATCATACTGAGACCAAAATGTGGGAACAAATTCTTCTTTAGTGAGAAAGTCCAGAATGCGATTCCACTTTTCCGTGAATTTAGTGGAGATCGGCCGAAGAGCGGCGTTGTTCAGTTTGCAGGTGACACACTCCATCAAGAATTGAGTGATTCTGTGATTCTAAGAGCTCATGTTAGAAGAAAAGGTCCTCCTTTTTCACTGTAACCAGATAACTTCCCGAAGGTTTCTCACAGAACTTCCCCAGCTGCACAACTGGGTAAGCCACTGAAGGATCTAAATTGATGAGCCTCATCGATTCAAGATTTAATCCCCAAATCAGAAACCACACCCAGACGAATGGGGTGCCATGTTCTTGAGTGTTTGCCCAGCTCTTTTGAGAAGGTGAACTGGAGTCTGAGGCTCACGGGCCTGGTTTGAAAAACCCACCCTCGTTTTAGCTCCTGGCGCCACGGCCCCCTCGTAGTGGGAGCGAGTCACAATAATGCCAGAGGAGGCCTGTTTAGTTAGGCTTTTTGTAGGCTGACAAGCTTGCCTCAGGCCCTGGTTTTGTTGGTTATCCTAGCAGAAACAAGAAGGGGAAAAAACTGAACCTAACAATAAACTCCAGAACCAAACAAAGGTTAGTGAAAAGGAGGGCCAATATTAAAACCTTTCCATAAAAAAAGGTACATGTATTTATTGATAATAACGAATTTTAAAACATAGATAGGGGCCCAATTACAACCACTGTATATAAAACATAACAATATCAAGGGTTTAAAAAGTTGACCTTACACGTTTCGGCCAAATAGGCCTTCCTCAGAGGTCATACATATGTGGCAAGATGGTTAATAATTATATTCACATAAACACAATCAGTGCTTTTTACTTGTGAATACTGTGGGAACACAATCAAAGAAGGAAATTTTTGGACCATAAGTTTATTTTATAATCACTGGGCTAGTGATTGCACTTTAAAGGTCTTATGTGCATATTTATCCTGTGCCTGGTGATTTTACTTCTGAACAATTTACTTTATGGTCCTCATTGAATCTATACTTTGTATATATTTCTGATTGTGTTTATGTGAATATAATTATTAACCATCTTGCCACATATGTATGACCTCTGAGGAAGGCCTATTTGGCCGAAACGCGTAAGGTCAACTTTTTAAAGCCCTTGATATTGTTATGCTTTATATACATTGGTTGTAATTGGGCCCCTATATATGTTTTAAAATTTGTTATTATCAATAAATACATGTATCTTTTTTTATGGAAAGGTTTTAATATTGGCACTCCTTTTCACTAATCTTTGTTGGTTATCCTGCCACTATTCACTCTGTTTGTCCTCTGACAATCCTTCACGAACTCAGCCTTTTTGTTCCACCCCCCCCCCCCTCAGGTGAAGAAGCCTCTTGTGGCGGGAAACTGTTTGAGGAGGAAGAGTCACTCCTGTCCCTCCCCACTTCCCACGAAGGTAACTCCCCACAGCCCAGCGCTTCAGACCTGCTTTTGCAAGAACGCCAGCGTGCCCACGAGTGGCCGAAGGTAAGTGTGCGGAAACACAAGTTGAGGTCAGGGAGTCTCCTGAAATCGCTCTGGAAGCGCTTGGTTCATCATCCTGTGCAGAGCTCGCGGGGTGCCCAGCGTCCTGCAACACGGCTAGCAAAAAGAGAATAAAGGAAACAGAGTAAAGGATGAGAAACAAGGAAATGTTGTTTTTTTGGTATTTTCTTTTATATGTGAGTGTGTGTGCACCTGGAAGTCATGGCGACCTCTGGTGACTGACCCCTACTGGGGGCCTGGGGGATATTCAGAGAGGTGGCTGAATAAAGCCTGCCCCCGCCTCCCGACTGCTGGTATTCCAAGGAGGCCTCCCATCCAAGTAGTTGCCAGAGTCGACCCTGCTCAGCTTCCAAGATCTGATGAGATCGGGCTTGCCTGGGTTATCCCGGTCAGGGCAAACAAAGAAACATTTGAAGGATGCAGCTTGCAGGTTTCTCGTGTCCTGCCTCTGTGCAGCAACCCTGGACTCCCTTAGTGGTCCCAGGGGTCATTTCCTGCAGGAGCGCACGGGAACGGAGCTCCGGCAGTAAAGAGCCCAAGGGGCGGGGGCATGCAACAAGCCCCGCCCCCTGCTCCCAGCAGCCCTCAGTCAGAGCAAGAAGCAGCCAGATAAATTGCAGAGTTGCAGTCCAGTGGCACCTTTAAGACCAAGCTTTATTCAGGTACAAGCTCTCCCTCCTCTGTGAGGGCAGATCTGCACGTAATTCCCCCCCTCCCCCCAATAGCTAGCAATCCAAAACAGTCCAGTGGAGCCTGAGTGGTGGGTGTTGCCTTCCGACACTCTTCGGGTGATGCCAGGGGGTGTGGCATATGCTAATGAGTTATGCTAATGAGCTCCTGGACCTCTTTTTCTACCAAATGACCCCTGGTGGTCTCCCATCCAAGTACTAACCAGGGCCGACCCTGCTTAGCTTCTAAGTTCTGATGAGCCCAGGCTAAGCTGAGCTGTTGGGCCTGCAGTCACAGACTGCAGGCCAAACTTGATCATTGCCTGCTTTCAAACAAGATCATTTTACTCCCCACCCCTTCAGTAATTGTTTCTTGGGGATCACAGGAAATAGGCCCTTCTGTATAAAAAGGTTATGAACATGTAAATAACCTGGAGGGCAGCTGCAAGGGAGGGGCCCAGTTTCAAAACAGAGCGACGCAGGTACTTCCCACAGGCAATGCTTGACTGCATCTCTGTCTCTGTCTTCCCCACCAGGACCGGGTGCTCATCAACCGCATCGACATGGTGTGTCAGGCTGTGCTCTCGGGGAAATGGCCTTCGGCACAGAGCCAGGTGGGCGCCTGCGTGGGCCAGGGAGAGAGCCTCCCCCGCTTGCACGGGGAATACACCAACTCTCCCATCCCCCACATCTGCCCCCTGGCGTCCCAGGAGGAAGGGGCCACGTCCTTCACCCGCCTCCGGCACGGCGGCCAAGAGAAGGAGTTTACCGTGCAGATCAAAGATGTGAGTGGATCGGCGGGGCCCCCGTCCTTGATGCCAGAATGGCTTTGTAATATGCCGGCGAGAGACGAGTGCCTGTGATGACTCACCATGCTGATTACCGAACGCCCGACCATAGGGAACGGGGGCTTGAACAGATGTTGCTTTTTGCACGGAGGCGCCTCTTTGTTTTTTGTGTTGACGCATAAGTTCCTTGTCCATCCTGCCTGCCTAGGGTGGCGTGTTTCACAAAGCAAATTGAAAAGAAGGGAAATTCCCAGTGCACATTTTTATGCCAATCTCCTTTAATTTTTCCCCATCTGAAAAGTAGGATTCAAAATGAACCGCCTGAGTAAGGAGTGTATAAGGCAGCCTTTAGAGAATGTTCCTTTGGGTTTCTTTGCTGTCTGCCATTTGACAAAAAAAGGCAAACACTTGGTGGTTTAGCTTGGCTAGCTGTTTCTCTCCCCCCCACACACACACCCTTTCTGAAAGGGTTTGTGAAACACCTCTGAGCTAAGGCTCACTGGTTAGCCAGTGTAGCATCATGAGTCCAGAGGAGTGGCAGTGTTAAGTCTGTTGAGGCAACAATAAACTGAAGTCTCATGGCACCTTAAAGCAGGGGTCCCTGACATTTTCAGCCTGTCAGGCACCTTTGAGAGCCAGTTTGGTGTAGTGGTTAAGTGCGCGGACTCTAATCTGGGAGAACCGGGTTTGATTCCCCACTCCTCCACTTGCACCTGCATCTTGGGCAAGCCGTAGTTCTGGCACAGCTGTTCTTGAAAAAAAGAGCCGTTTCTGTCAAGAGCTTTCTCAGCCCCACCTACCTCACAGGGTGTCTGTTGTGGGGAGGGGAGGGGAAAGGAGTTTGTAAGCTGCTCTGAGACTCCTTTGGGTAGTGAAGGGCGGGGTATAAATCCAATCTCTTCTTCTTTGGAATTCTGACAGTGGTGGCCGCAACCACAAAATGGCTGCTGCAGAAGGCAGAGTCAGGGAGCGAGGTCATGCATAACTCTGTAGCTCTTCAGCATTTCAGGAAGAAAAAACAGCTTCTTCCTTGACAGGATGTTTTTTTAAAATGAACATACTGTTTAAAAAAATGTTTTCTCACGTACACACAAAATCAGTGTACCTATTGAACTAGCTAAGAAACACTCATCTGGCTGTATCTGTCAGATTTCCAGTGGCCAATTAAAAACTCTCTTGGGCAAAAGCCCTACCCACCATCAGGAAAGGTGTCTGTGGTTGCCATGGTGACCAGGAGCATCACGTGGGAGACCCTTCATTAAAGAGGAATTTTGATTCTAGCATAAGCTTATGTAAGCTTGAAGTCCGTATAGGTGTTCCCACAGTTTCCCTACATTTCCTAAGTCAATTATCACCCATCACAGCATTGTAAATTATCTCCATACTTTTTCTCATTATTATAGGGCTCTTTTTCTAGCAGGAACTCCTTTGCATATTAGGCCACACACCCCTAATGTAGCCAGTCCTCCAAGAGCTTACAGAGCTCTTCTTACAGGAGCTACTGTAAGCTCTTGGAGGATTGGCTACATTAGGGGTGTGTCGCTTAATATGCAAATGAGTACCTGCTACAAAAAGAGCCCTTTACATCTCATCCTGTACTTCCTGCATTTTGTGACCCTTTGAGCCTACTGTTTAGAAATGCCATTTCTTCAATTAACCTCGAATATAAATTTCTGCCTAGCAAGGGCCTCACTTTGCGATGTAAAATTTTTGGAAATTGTGTAGCCATGGAAACTTGGAGGGGGGGGGACAGAGAAATATGCAGCACTTACTTTCTTGTCCAGTCTAAACTCTTTACTGATGTACAACTTAAATGCATCATTTATAACTTAGTTATTATATCAGAGTGTACCATTTGGCATATTGATGGAATTTTAAAGTATATTTGGCTTTGTTTTCTGTAAGAAGAAACCTGAAAATATTTCCGGTGCTTGAGAAAGGCTTGCAAACTGCTGCATGCTGTGCTACCAAAGCAGATGTAGCTTAATTTTTGGCAGGTACCAAAAACACAAGTTGAAGGTAGAAAACAAATTTCACCCTAAATAAAAGACACTGTATTATTTGGACACAGTCACAAAATGTAGATTGGGTTTTCAGTTAAATTTCATAACAGTGAAAAACCTGAACTCTTTAATAATGCACTATAGCATATTTTTGCTGAAAGTATTCACATTTGCACAAAAAAATAGCTTGAAAAATGTATTGAAATATAGAGAGTTATCTAATGCTGTAGACTGTCTTACTCAATATGTGAAGTACAAAAGGTTTTACGCATATTCTTGTCTTCTATTTCACTCATTCCAAAAGGGGAGAAAATATTTTTTTTTCAAAACCCCCCCCCCCATTTTTCCATCGAATTTTTTTTAAAGTTGGAGTAGGGGTGTTCTGTCAGAGGTGTTCTTGAAAAGGAGCCGTTCCTGTCAGAGCTCTCTCAGCCCCACCTACCTCACAGGGTGTCTATTGTGGGGAGGGGAAGGGAAAGGAGTTTGTAAGCCGCTCTGAGACTCCGAGTGAAGTTGTTCAGTCGCACAGTTGAGTCGGACTCTTCGCGACCCCATGGACCAGATCCCGCCAGGCCTTCCGGTCTTCCACCGTCCTCTGAAGTTGGCTCAACTTCATGTTCGTTGCATCTATGACTAGGGATGTGCATTTCGGAATCCCGAACCGAAAAAAAAGCCGAAAATAACGATTTTCGGCTTTTTTCGGCTTTTGGGATCCCGAATTAGCAATTTATGAGCTTGTCCGAATCCCGAAAAAAAATCCCGAAAAATTCGGGTCCATTATAACCAATGGGGCCATTGAAGTCAATGGCAAAAATCCTCTTGAAACTTTGTGGGGGGCTGGGGGGGAGGGGGTTTGGGGTAGAGGCTCCAAACTTGGAGCGTGCTCACTGGAACCTCTCCCCAACATACCCACCAAGTTTCAAGACGATTGGACCAGGGGGTACAATTTTATGGGCCCCCAAACAGGTTGCCCCCAGATCAGCTTGCTGCAGTTTATTTGCGGTTTGCCGCCGAAATTCGGCAGCAATTCGGCAACATTGTATCCTATGGACCTTGGAGTGGGTAAGCTCCAAACTTGGAGGGTGGTTACTAGAACCTCTCCCCTACATACCCACCAAGTTTCATGAAGATTGGACCAGGGGGTCCAATTCTATGGGCCCCCAAACAGGTTGCCCCCATCCCATTGTTCTCTATGGTGGGAAAAAAATTACTTTTTTTCCCACCATAGAGAACAATGGGATGGGGGCAACCTGTTTGGGGGCCCATAGAATTGGACCCCCTGGTCCAATCTTCATGAAACTTGGTGGGTATGTAGGGGAGAGGTTCTAGTAACCACCCTCCAAGTTTGGAGCTTACCCACTCCAAGGTCCATAGGATACAATGTTGCCGAATTGCCGCCGAATTTCGGCGGCAAACCGCGAATAAACTGCAGCAAGCTGATCTGGGGGCAACCTGTTTGGGGGCCCATAAAATTGTACCCCCTGGTCCAATCGTCTTGAAACTTGGTGGGTATGTTGGGGAGAGGTTCCAGTAAGCACGCTCCAAGTTTGGAGCCTCTACCCCAAACCCCCTAGACAGACAGGCCCAGCAGCAGGACCAGAGCAATCTGCCCCCCCCCACAACCTGTGCCAAGGTGCAACCAATCAGTGCCCAGACCAACTTGGTGCAAACCAGAGAATTTCTGCAGACAGCAGCAGCAGCCCACAGACTGAGGGAGCAAGCAAGTGCATGCCAGCCAGGCCCCAGCATTGCAACAGAAGAACAAGAGCAATCTGCCACCTGTGCCAGGCCAGCCAGGTTGCCATGCCAGTCA